ATCCTGTCTAACCCTGAATGCTAGAAAACGCCTTGTATCTGTGACTTTCCTTCCCTCAATTGATTTTGGTGATATTATTTACATGAACGCTCCTACAAGAACCCTGCAGATGTTGGATGCTGTCTATCATGGTGCACTAAGATTCATAACTGGCTGTGATTATCGTACCCATCACTGCACCCTGTATTCATTGGTTAACTGGACATCATTAACTTCACGCAGACTCTCTCACTGGTACATTTTCATCTTTAAATCACTTCTTGGTCTGCTGCCTTCATACATCTCCTCCTACATGTCTCTGCGTGAGTGCAGCTACGGAGTGCGCTCTCAGGACATTATTACCTGCAGTGTTCCCTCAGTGAGGACTGAACTAGGCAAAAGGGCCTTCTCCTATTCTGCTCCTGTTTCCTGGAATATCTTACAAAAAGATTTGAAGCTCTCGACCTTGACCTCTCTAAGTGGCTTTAAGAATCTGTTGGACTCCTGGCAGGGTCCAATGCAGACATGTTCCTGTTTATAGTTTTATACATTTGTCTTGGAATCTAGCTGTTTTTTTGGTTTTGTTACCTTTTTCCTTTTAGCCATCCTATTTGTTAAAAAAAAAAAAAAAACTGTAGTATGAGTTTTTATAACTGCTTATTGTTGTTGCTGTTGTCCATTGTTGTCATCTTTCTTTGTTGAAATCAGGTCTCTCTTGTAAATGAGTCCTCGAGGCTCAATGGGATTTACCTGTATAAATAAAGGTTGATTGATCATGGATAGTCAGCAGCACACATCAACAACCAAGTGGCATCACTGTGATTTTTCCTGGGTTGAGATTCATGAGTCTAACAGCCTCAGGGTAGAAGCTGTTCCTCATCCTTCTGATTGAGGGGAGCGGGGCAAAAAGTGTGTGTGCTGGGTGTGTGGGGTCCTTCATGATGCAGGTGTCCCTCTTCCTGCATCTAGAGGTGTAAATGTCTGTGATGGTGGGGAGACTGACTCCAGCAGTCTTCTGTGCAGCCTTCACCACTCTCTGCAAAGCTTTTCTTTCTGCAGCTGTGCAGCCTCCATGCCACACGTTGATGCTGGAGCACAGGATGCTCTCCACTGCACACCTGTAGAAGGAGGTGAGGACTGAGCTTCCCAGACCAGCTCACCTCAGCTGCTTGACGAAGGAGAGTTTCTGATGAGCTTTCTTGATCAGACTGGTGGTGTTGTTGCTCCAGCTGAGGTTGTCATTCAGGTGCACACAAGTACTTGTAGCTGGAGACCATTTCCACCACAGATCCTCCAATGTTCAGGAGGGGTGGGGGGTGGGTAGGTGTGTTTATTCCTTCTGAAGTCCACAACCATCTCCTTTGTCTTCTTCACATTTTTTTTTTTTTTTTTTTTGGTTAAGAAGTCTAGGACCCAGTTGCATAGAGAGGAACTTAGTCCTAGTGTGATTACTTTGTTCATCAGGGTCTGGGGGATCATGGTGTTGAAGGTAGATGTGAAGTCCACAAAAAGCATACGGACGTAGAAGTCCTTCTGCTCTAAGTGGGTGAGAGCAGTGTGGACCAAAGAGGAGATGACATCCTCTGTTGATCGATTCTCGCAGTACGCGTACTGGTGAGGGTCCTCGTTGATGTTGATGTTAGCTTTGATGTGGGTCATCATTAAAGAAAAGGTTTAAATTTTTTTGCCGTTTTGTGCAAACGCTGTGAACAATTAATATCTTACCTGCTGTAGATAGCTTTAGGAACATTTGGAGAAATAGGGTTTAATCCTGATGAGCTAATGCCTAATTTGAATGTGGCCAAAAACAAAGTGAATTCCACTCATCCGTTTTCTTATCCATGTTTGGATTGTAGAATCAACAGGTTCAGAAGGGAAACCCGTTTTTAGCGGCACTCTCCAGCTCCTCCTAGATAGTCTTAAGACATCTTTGCAGGCCTGAGAAGATACATAATACATCTAGTGACTTGTTAGTCTTTTTTCCAGTGGGGAGTGCTCAGAAAGAAACAATTATAGGAGAAGGCACCCGAATCAGATGCTTGAACCACCTCATCTGACTCCTTTCGAAGAGGAGAAGCAGCTCTACTCAATAGTTTGGTTATTATTAAGAAAAAATAGCAGCAGCTAGCTTTAGCACTTCCTGCAGGAATATCATAATTTTTCTGTTGCAACAACTTTGTAATGCAAAATTAAGAAAGGTTTACAAAAATGCATTAACATAAAAAAACATTACTTTTTTAAAAAACAATTTTAAGATAGTAGCAATTAATTTAATTTTGACCTCACTTGGATTTGCCATTAGCTTGTCTGGTCAAAACTAATCTGTTTCTCTAAACTGACATTATTCAAAAAGCTATCTGCAACAGGTAAGATATTACTTGTTCATTATCTTTCCATTTCAAAGATATGAATTAAGCTTTAATCTAAAACGTTTAGGGCAATGAGGTCAGGATTACACTGGCAAACATTGGTGAAAAAGTGAGATTGATTTTCATGTTTACTAAACGAATTATGGAATATTTCCATTTTAAAAACAACACATTTTCATCCCATCTCAGGTTGAGACAATAGGAGACGCCTACATGGTTGCATCAGGTTTACCCAAACGGAACGGCAATAGGCATGCAGTGGACATTGCCCACATGGCCCTGGACATCCTGTCGTTTGTGGGAACCTTCGAGTTGCAGCACCTGCCAGGGATTCCTCTGTGGATCCGTATCGGGGTGCATTCAGGTACCAAATAGTCCTGAATGAAAAATTTTTAATTTTTCTAACTTATTATTGTTACTTGTTATTTTTGGACTAATAAGAACTAATACAGTGTTACTAATGTTCAGTGGGATCTTCTCTGCTTGTATTTGTGTCCAGGTCCCTGTGCAGCGGGAGTGGTTGGTAACAAGATGCCTCGCTACTGTCTCTTTGGAGACACAGTCAACACGGCATCACGCATGGAGTCCACAGGCCTGCGTAAGAGAGACACCATGCAACTGTCAACAAACTGGAAGAAAAGTGGATTTTATTCTTCTCTGTGTCTTGCAGCTCTGAGGATTCATGTGAGTCAGCCCACCATCAACATCCTGCAGAAGACAGACTGCAAGTTTGAGTTCAAGAGACGAGGAGAGACGTACCTGAAGGTGCCTTTTACGTGATCGTTTACTGTTTTATTTGTCAGGAGTCAAACATCACATGTGAACTGGATGCATTTGTGCTTCTATGATTCCCAGGGAAAAGGCAAAGAGATGACATACTGGTTGACAGGAGTGACAGGAGCAAAATACAACCTGCCCACGCCTCCGACAGCGTGAGTAACGCCTCATCTGTTCACTCCCAACGTGGAAATTAGATTTTTGAGGACTTTTCAAATGAAAAAAAGTTTTAACAGTTTGAGCCAGTGACATATTTTTTTCGTTTTGAAGGACATTGTCCATCCTTCAGATTCACATCCAGACAGTGTTCCTTTTCATCTAGAAGTTTCTAACACTCTTGGTCCAACAGTTGTTACTCTGATCAACAAATTATGCACGTTTGGCTGCTGTGTTCCAGCTGCTTGCTGTTTTGCGGCCTCTAATGAAAAGGCGCTTTTAAATTGCAGATCATTCTCAAATTGTTTTTAATCAACTTCAGATTTTTCCCTGCTAGCATCAAAGGTGAAACACTCCAGTCGGGTTCTGTTTTTGAGTGAGTTTACGGGTGGCACGATGGTGCAGTCGTTAGAGTTGTCGCTCCTCAGTAAGAAGGTTTCAGTTTGATCTCCTGGGTCTTTCTGCTTGGACATTACATGTTTGCCCTGTGCACACATGTTTTTTTTTTCTGGGTACCCTGATTTCCTCCCATAGACTAAAAGCATGCATGTTAGGTTAACTGATAACTCTAAATTGTCCTCAGGTGAGCTTTGTGGTCCTGTGATGGACTGGGTGTACCCCACCTCTTACATAGCTGGAGATAGACACCAGCTCCCCCGTAACCCAGAAGGGAAATGGGGGTAAAGAAAACGGATGAATGGTGCTTTGAGACCTTTCTGCTGTCTTTGAACCTGTGGACGATAAAATCTTGCTGTCACAACTTGAACATCTTGTTGGTGTCAAAAACACACTTTCATCCAAGTTTGACCAACCAGAGGGTTAGTAACCATACATTCATTTGTTTTGCTTTGCTCATGATATCAAGGTGTATCTACCCATTTAAACCCCTTTGAACTGTTTAAATTACATTAAAAATTGGCTGAAGTAAAACGTCCGTAGTCACTGAAAATAAGACAAAAGTCGTCAGGTTTGGAAAATTAAAAGTTTTCAGAAATATTGTCAAAGATCTCGGCCCCATGGCTCCACGTATCTCCACTCTAAGAAACGTAGGTTTTATTCTCGACAACTCTTTCAAATTAGACAAGCAGATTTGAAACTCATTGCCAAGGTGAAGCCACAACTACTCATCAAAGACCTGGAAAAAGTGATTCATGCTTTTATTACCTCCTGCTTGGATTACTGTAACGCTCTGCATCTTGGTTTAAATAAATCATCTCCAGAACACAACTCGTCTTTGAACGGGTGCTATAAAACAGGAAACACATCAAATAACTCCGGTCCTGGATCCTTTCTGCTGGTTTCCTGCTTCAGGAGTGATCGAAAAAAATCTACATCTTGTCATTAAAGTTTTTAATTGTTTTTTCCCTTTATTTTTATAATATTGTCTCAACATCTACACACCAAAAAGAGTACTCTGGTCAACCAACCAGTTTATCTTGTACCAAGGTCCAAGCTAAAAGTTAAAGGATTTGTGGTTGCTGATCTGAATTTATTCATTGCAAAGCTCAAAGCACATTTATAAACAGTCTTCAGTGATTGGAGACATTTGTCTGAGGTATTTATTCACCATAAAGCCAAGGGAAGAAGGTTACTCATACCAGTTTCTTTTAAGCCTTGAGGAAGAAACATGATCTATTGCAATAATAGAACCCAGCTTCATTTTCAAGTTTTGGACTAAATTGACATGTATCTTAGAAGAAAGCTCCTTATCAAATGAAAAACCTAGGTATTTATAATTGACATTCAATTTAATTTGTTTACCTTGGACAGCAGCAATCAACAGAAGAATCCCTGGTAGCTTCTGTGCTTTTTAAATCTCAGCTTAAAAACTAAACGTATTCCTTTTTTGATTCAAGCAGAGAAAAGACCTCATAGAACTTTGTGTTTTTGGTATTTTATTTTCCCAACTAGATTTTCTAATGTCTTAAATTTGATGTATTTTCATTTTTTCAACTTTTATGTGACTGAATCGTTTGAAATGGCACTTTGGTCGACTTCTGTCATTTGTAATGTGCTGCAGACATAAAACTGACACTATCACTGACGTATGAATTCTTGAAATCGGATGTTTGTTTCAGGGAGAACTTCCAGCGTCTTCAGCAGGATCTGTCAGAAATGATCGTGTCCAGTCTGGAGAAGCGTGAAGGAGGGAAAGAGGGTTTCAAAAAGAGGACGACCTTGTCCACCAAAATCCGATGGAGAGACACCAATGGGAGCCTGCGGAGGGAAAGTGCACCGGAGTACTTCCACCTGGCTGTCACTGAAAACCCCAGCACCTACTTGTGATAACGACATGGAAGAGTTATAAAAAACAAAAGACAGCTGAAGTGGATCAGTGTCTGTGTGGGTCAGCTCTGTTCAGAAAGAGAAGATGAAGGAGCAGCTGCAAGAACTCAGACGTGAAAACAAATCTGATAAAGTTATGAATGTTTTTTTCCCTCTGGTTACAATTCTTAATGTTTTTACAAGTGTCTGTTTTCTACATAAACCTATCCAACTCTATAACCTACACCTTTTTTTATTCAAGCAGTTAAATTGATTGTAAAACCTTATAAATATATTTTCTTCTAAATGGACGGGTGATTCAACTTGAACACCTGCCTCTTGAGTCTGCCTCCACCCAAACGAAGGTTTCAGTGGAGTTAAAAAGATTGATTTATAGCTACATGAAGTACTTGTGCATTTGTAGTGAAGGATGTAATTTTTCACGTTAAATTTGACTGTAAAGAAGGTTTATTAGTTAAGGTTTCACATCATTGTGTTAGATTTGTCTAGATTTATCTAAATGTTTAGTCCAGTGTGGTTTGGCCTTTCTCAAAACTTTACGTAACAAAGTGTGTGGCAATTAATTCCTACGTTTGCCTGCAGGCACTGAGAACTTGTTTGTGATTGTCACTAAAACTCTGGATACTTTAATATGAGAATGATGCAAATCAAAATATGGAGTTGTTGTTTTTTCTGCAAAAAAAAAAAAAAAAAAAATCTGAATGATGAGCCAAGATGCAGATTAGACTTTTTATATTATTATTTTGACGAGACCTGCCTTTACATTATGCAGGAAACTTACTAACTGAAAAGTTCTGGAAAAAAATATTTACTGTGTAAATAAGCTTTAGTTGCTGCAAAGACTGTGGAATTACACTCACCTCCATATTTATTATGTACAGTCATGGAAATAAAAGACTCCCTCTGTCAATTCTAGGGTTTCACATATCAGGGCATAGAAATGATCTGATCTTAAGCAGATTCTAAAAATGTCATATATAGTGTCTGGTGTACAAACTCACACAACAAATTCCACCATAAAATTTATATGTCAAACAACAATGAAGGCAAAATCAAAAAGATGTGTGTGAAAACTAAATTATCTCCATGATGCAACAGATTAAAGAACTTCCTTCTGAGCAGTTGTTTCTGATTATCAGTCTCTCATGTCGACTCTTTTGCGTCTTTTGCTACCTTTCAAACAAAACATTTGTTCAGTTTTTGCAAACTGCACCTTCATGAACACAAACTTTAACCTTAAAGCTGCTGATTGAAGCCTGTAGAGTCTGAAATGAAGCTTTTGAGATTTATCGATCTTGCATGGTCTGACCTTAGGGTGAATGTGCTGAGACATTAATTCCTGAGAAGCTCTCTCTTATGTTTCCATCAAATCATTTTTCTCTCTGTAAAACCATGAAATCCAAGTTGTTCTGAAATGACCTTTAACCCCTCCCATATTGATGGGCATCAACAGTTATCTCTCTACGATCGTTGCTGATGTTTTTCCTTCTTGACATTGTGTGAATACATAACTGTTTGCTCCAGAGCAACAAGCTGACAAAACTCCCGTTTTTATTGAGGTGATCACACTGATTGTGATCAGTTAATCAATACATTTGATCAGCAACATCTGACTGCTATGAGTTTCCTCTTTAATCCTATGGAAGCATACAGTGTATGGTGTACTCCATTTTCCACACACAGATGTTCCATTTTGGCACGGAGCAACATGGAGGAACGTGTTGTGTGTTTTTGTACACCTGAGGTCTGATTAGAACATTTTTAGAGTCTGGTAAAGATCAGAACGGTTTAATATCTGAATAAAACACTACAATTAAAAGAAGGTAGATGTTAATTTTCCAATGACTGCATTAAAAATGTAAATGCAGTCCAACAACGTCATTATCTGCATTGTTTTTATGTCTATATTCTGATTTACTTCATTTTGTATTTTGCTTTGTGTGTTACCTGTTGTTCTGTCTGTACAGCACTTTGGTTGGCCTTGTCGCTGTTTTAAGTGCTTTATAAATAAAATGGTATGGTAATAACATGAAAAACCCTCAAACACACACATCAACCAACAACTCTCAACCAGATTCAGTAGAAACTTGTTAATGCTAACAAAGTGAAGAGTTGTTCTGCTTTAATTACAACAACTGTATTAAATAAGTCAGTATGAAATACAAATCTGTTTTACTGCTACGTCACAGAAATGCTATTTTGTTTTTAGAACATGTATATTTTTGTGATTAATTTTAGTTTTGTATTTGATTAAATAACGTTTGAAACATGACCCAAAGTGTTGTATTCTCTCATTCACCAAAAGTTTATCTCAAAAGACACACAAACTTTTTTTTACATAAAAGCCTTAATGGTAAAATTATGATATAATGAAATCTGAAGTAATACAGAGATGTAGAAAACAAGTCATTTCAGACATTTGTTGAAAACCATAAAAACATGGCAGATAAGATGAAAACTCAGCACACTGAATACAAACACACATTCATTATGTTACATAACGCTGTACGACCAGCCCAGTCTTTTTTCGTCAAATCTAATGATTCACGACACATTTGTACCAGAACAAAACCAGTTTCCCATAATGTGACTGTTAATATATTTAACTCCACTGTAACCCGAACACACGACCCTACAGAGTTTTAGTTGTAACTAACACAGTGCCCCCCAGCTCTGTGGCAGGAAGTGGGACTCTGTGATCCACCACAGCGCTGCATGCAGGCAGCCCCCCTCCGTCTTGACCGCCATGTCTCTCAGGGCCCCGGCAAACGGTGAAGCCGTCCTCCCACCTTGACTCAATTTGGCCCCCAGGGTGCAACTGGTGACAAGGTGAGGGGGCCTCGGCAATCCACTCACAAGCCAAGTTTCTCTCTGAGTGCGGTGAAGGAAATTTATTTGGTGGTTCTGTTTTCTGAAGAAACTCTTGTTCTGGTGCTGGATCTTCTGCAACACAAGCCAGTACTTAATGTTCACACTTACGATAGAGTATGCAACATGTATTTTTTATCAAAAGCTATTCAATTATTTTTAATTCTGAGCTAGATCATTCTTGGAAAGACGTTCCCATCCAACACTGTCAACTTCATCTCATTAGTTTAACAACAGGTATGCATTTTATAGAAAATATCTGTTAATGCCATTTTTGACATTACTGTGGGAAGTGCAACACGTGAAAGTAACATTTTAATTTTTATCCTGTGAATGAAACTAGATAACAGCACTGAATTTAAAACAAAATGACCAAAAAAGGACAATAAAATATACTGTATTATATTTGTATTGTAGAGTATTGTGTTATTATAAAATTATTAATTATATTAATTATTAATAATATAATTAATAATTATATATTTTATTGTAGAGTATTATGCCGTAATGTTTTGTATTGTGTCATTGTAACAAGTGATATTGTGTCATTTTGTATCGTATTGCTTTTATTGCATTGCGTGACATTGTATCAAGATATAATTTAATGTATTGTGTTGTGCAATATTATTGCAAAGTGCATCAAGTCACATAACATTATATTGTGTCGTATTGCATTTTATAGTATTTTTTATATTGTGCCTTCTTGTATTGTACTCTATTGTTATACTGTATATTATTGAATTGCATCATTGCATTTCATAGTATTGCTTGATGTATTGTACTTTGTCATATTGTATCACATTATATTGTACTGTGTATCATATTGTATTTATAATTGCTATGTCAAGTCTATTATATCCTATTGTATTGTGCTACATCCTAAATTGTTGCAGCAGCAGCGCCAATATTTTTAAACATTTGCCACATATATTTGCATATTTATATGTTGTTATATGTTTAGTGCTTTATAAAGTACTTAAATTTCATGTCAGATTGAGGCTTTCAGAGCTGTTCAAAGCAGCAGCTGCATGACCTGAGAGTTTCATTCAGCTGCTTTCACAGAGAAAACAAACAGACTTTAAAGATCTGCATGGATGCAACATGAGCTGTCTTTTGTCAACAGGTTTACGTCTTGCAAACTACTGAAAGAAGGGTTAGTTTACACGTTCTTAAGGTTTTATGGAGACCCAGTTAGCCTTGCCCAAACAATGGACTCATGCTAAAACCAGAATAGACTGTAAGTAAGCAGCACTAACCCAGGGGACGTCTAAGAAGAGAACAGAAACTGTAGAGTTTCGTCTGTAAAGACCGTCACACTTCAGCACCTGCTGACTTGCAACTGTTTCCTCCCCCCCCGACTCTTGGATTTCTTGTCTACATATCAGATCTTCATCACTTTGAGTAAAACACACACCTCATACTGGATAAATATTTGAAACACTTTTTTTTGTTGCTAAAATCCTATCTAAACCAAAACCTCAGTCTTGTCTGTATTCAAAAGCAGAAAATTTAGGGTCATCCAGGTTTTTATGTCTTTAAGACATGCTTGTAGTCTAAGTAACTGATTGGATTCATTGGGTTTCATGGACAAATATAACTGTGTATCATCAGCATAACAATGAAAATGTAGCCCATGCTGTTTAATAACATTACCTAATGGAAGCATATATAAGGTAAAGAGTAGTGGTCCAAGCATTGAACCCTGAGGAACTCCATGACTAACTTTGGTGTGTGAAGAAGATTCATTATTTACATTTACAAACTGGAATCTATAAGATAAATATGATTTAAACCAATTTAGAGCTGTTCTGTTGTGACTTGGCGCTATATAAATAAATTGAATTGAAATGCATTACTTCATAAATCAGGAGTTGAATGTCAATTATCTGAATAATCTGCTTTGGCAACTTTTTTCTGCTGGAATATCCAAGTCAAGAAGTGTACTTAAATCAATGTAACCTATTTTATTTTTTTGAAACAAACTAAAGGCTAACATAGTGATGAAATTATATTAATGGTTTTCACATAAACTTGCAGATTATTGGAATTAAAATTAACCTCTAAAGCATCTCTAATAAAACAGCAAATAGATCATTTGTTCTTACCAAGGTTGCTGCTGGTTCTGGTTTGTCGTCTGAATAAGACAAACCAAAGAGTCAGCGCTGCAACGGACCCCAGTGTGACCAGAACCACACAAATCCACAGAGTC